AACCTTCCCACCAACGTGCCGTTCCATTTTATAGCCGTGTGACAAACGGCAGCAGGGGGCGGTCTTACAAAATAAGGTGTGTGAATGGAGCAAAGGTGTGTCACTGAATCCTTCCACGCGGAAAAAGTGGCACCCTTTAACATTCACTGATGTTTGCTGAAACCAAACAGTGGGAAAGAGCACAGCAAGGCGGTGGGTAGTGCGTTTCAGCAGTGGGTCACCTCCACTGGTGCAAATTGTTAGCAGTATGACATGCAGGCTCTTGTTCATTGCTGGCGAAAATGCGTAGCTCATGGTAATGACTATGTTGAGAAGCAGGCTTTTGGAGCTGAGCTTCTGCTCTTTTGACTGAGTGGTATGGTGCTCTTTGTGTCTGAAGTTTCTGTGGAAATAAATAGGATGCGTTACTTTCAGAGTTATCTAGGTAGTATTCCTCCTATATACAAACCTCCAAGTCACTGTTCGTCAGTTTTAGGATCAGGGTAGTTGTGCAACAACTGGACCAAGCTGGTTCTGGCAGTGGTTGTGGTTTTCATTCCCTGTGTCTTGCCCTTTGCATTTCTTTTTGAGATGCAATAGCAGACGTGTCTAACTTGTCTTCGGTTTTCAGCTTGTGCTTTAGGTTTTTTTTAATTTAATTTTATTTTTTTTATTATTTCATGGTGATACGTAGTCCTTTTGTATCATTAACAATAATATAAAAACTTCCTGTGTGAGATTTCCTGTAGTTATTGCTGTGTCAAAAGACTGGCGCCCTCTTTGTAGGGATAAATTATCTCCTTAGTTCTCAAGGATGATCCCTCAGTTAGGTTGTCTGTTTTCTTTTTCGCAGGCAGACCTAGATGTCTTGCCATGACTGATGAACATTATTAATAAACACGTACGATAAAGGTGTTGCTGGAATTGCCTGTTCATGAACTGGAGCACAGGTCACCAGCATGCCTTCATACTGTTGGGAGTGAAAATGGGCCCTGTTGAGATCAACAACAATAAAAAAGACAATTTCTAGAGAGTAAAAGGAAGATCGTGAAGAAACCGGTCTGAATTGCCACACAGCAGAAGTACATCCTTCAAAATAAATCTGATTTACGTTAATTACAAAGTTTGATTGCGAATGGACGCTGACACAAATCGAGAAGTGGCTGTTCATGTTTCTTCTAAGAGTTTAATTATATCTAGAATTGCAGCTGCTGCAGACAGCATTTATGAAGATAACAGTACTAATAGCACTACTGGTGCAAAATTGTCTGCGTATCTCAGGCGCAGTTTTTTTTTTTTTTTTTTTTTTTTTTTACAAGATGTTTCTTTAGGGAGGAGAAGAAGAAATAGCCTGTGTGTTACTGAGAATGTTTCAGCGAGAACTTAGGCAAATAGACTTTTGCTGTTTACATTTGTTGGAAGTCAGGTCTTTGTCTAGAACATAGAGTAACCACATAAAATGCTGCAATTTGCAGTCACACACCTTGTTCTTATCGGATAACTTAGCTAAGTGGGATCCTATCTATCTGATGCTTGTCTAATAGTGTAGTACTTGGCATCTATGGCAACCTTTTCAGGGAATTCAGATGGTAACAGACACAAATGAACTGAGCTTCACAATGCCTGTTAAATAGAAAATATTTGCATTTACTGATGGGGAAGAGTAATTGAGATGCAGGAAAGGTAAAGGTAATTTTTTAAAATGTAATTTTAAAGATAATTCTAGGGAAGAGTAGATGACTCTATTCCAGCTGTTGAAAGTACAGGTAGGCAGTTCTACATTAGGTTTGCAGGTTTATAAGTTTCCTGACAAACACCTCACGTTTGCTGTTTTGGGAAAAACATGTAGAATGGCAGAATTTGTACTACAATTTCAGAATCTGATTTTTATTTTTATTTTTGCTATCAATTTTGTTATTGTTTTCTACTTCAGTGTGGAAAGATTTTGCAGCCTGAAGGTCTTTCAGCTTTTAATCAGTGGAGTGTCTTTGAGTTGATCTATCCAAATAAATGTGTGGTCATTGCTTAAATATTTCAATGGATAACAGCTTTTTTTTTTTTTTTTTTTTTGTTTTTTTTTTTTTTTTTTGTAAAAGAGTGCTTGCATAGTCTTGTGGATGCTGCCTTTGAAAGTGATCAGTGTTTGGCACCTCTGGCCTACTGATAGTTTGACCAACTTGTAAGTAGGCACACTGCCATCCTAACAGATGGATATGAATATAGACAGCCAAGAAACCATGTATGTGTATCCAGTGTACTTGTTAAGGGCAGAGATCCCAGCTGGGGATGCTCAAACTTATGTCCATTTTCAATTTTTGTTTTTATGGGTAAAGGGAAGTCATTGTTAATTTTTTTTTTTTTAACTAAATACCTTCAGGCCTTTAATTATTGACTGCATTGAATGATGACAATAACCAAAAAGAGAAATGCCAGCTCCTTCCTTAACACTTTTGTGGACCTATTTCAAGTGAACTTAATTCTCTTCAAAGGGAATCCACTATCAACAGAATCACTGTGAAAGTCAAGGATACTAAATGTATCAGTACTTCAGTTTGACTGGCTTGCTGGCTTTATTGAAGAAGATGCTGTGAATTTTGCTTTTACTGTACAGTGGTCTGTCCAGCATTCAGGCACCCTAATTCCATCTATCCAAGTCTCTCTAGAATTATTTGCAGTAACTCTGAGGTCATGTTGCAGTCTTTCCACTCCTCTTTATGTCCTCTTCATATCTCTCAAATTGTTATCTTGAGACCTATTTTCTCACTTGATATGGCATTTTTTGTATCCTCTAGAATATGATAGTGATCAGAATCTTCATGTGTATCTGAGTCCATTGGGTAACTGCTGATTCCTGCAGTTTTTTTCCTTACCTGTGTTAGTTCAAGAGTTCCAAACTTTTCTTATTTTCCCCTTACCTCTTTTAATGGCTTCAGTCAGTGCTTTCTGATAATTTTCCTTCCTGATTTGGATGTCCTGAGAAGCTGCTTGCCTTGTAGGCCAGTATTAATACATTGCCATTCCTACCTCTCTTTCTTCTGGTGCTTTGACTGCATCACTTCCCCATTTTCCTGGTCTTAGTTGAATTTGCATTTGATGCTTGAAAGTCTCATTTTTCTTCTGTAGAATAGCTGGAGGAAGAATCTTCCTCTAAGACAGCATGGTATATATCCCATTGAAAATGGAGAAGAAAAAAAAAAAGACAAGAGGATAGGGGTGAAATTATGAGCAAAGTTAGTTCTAAATTTTAAGTGTAGAATGTCAAAGTTGTTTCTTGACTATGGGGAAAAATGTTACTGTATTTAAATAAATGGAAATGTGGAAAAGTGATGCTGATTAAAACATCCTATGATGAGGAATCAAGTGCACTGTAGGTATCAGTAGACACCAGTCTGTTCCTGTGGTGTGGGTGTTCCACAATACTGCTTTGTTGCAGTTAGTTGTTTCATCCATGTAGGTATTCAGGAGTGCCTCTCAGGTTAAAAAGGACCCTGAAGAAGCAATACATTTCTTTCGCCTAGAATCATTTGCCTTTTCACTTTGTTCCTATGTTGAATGGCTACAGTATCTGCAGATTTAGGCAACGTATCTGGAAATACAAGAGCTAATCTTGTATTCAACATGGCTTGGACTGTTCTCTTTGGATGTTGTGTGGTGGACATTATTTGGGGAAGGAAAGTTCCTGAAGGTATAAATAATTGAGAAAAGGTCCTTTTAGAGGGTGGAATGCTTTCAGAACAGCTGCTACAGTTATGTGATTTTTTTAATTATTATTATTATTTGGAAAACTGAAAGAAGATCTTTAGGACTGCAAGAAAAAAGTCCAATAGAACTAAAAGAAGAATGCTGATGTTAAGAAATGCATTTGGGTTAGGGTTGTTGTATTGATTACCTAAACTAATGAGGAAAATTAATTACATAGTCTTTTCTATCCAAAAGTTTCTTGAATTGTGTATTAATATTCCTTCCTGCTTTCAAGCAGAACAAAATGAAAGTCCCAACAGTCAGAACTACACCTTTTATGAAATAACTGAGGCTGTTAGCATACCTTTCATCTTCATCAGGTAGTGGGAAAGGTCATGTCTTTGTAAAAACAAATGAAAGTACTTTCAAGTAATTTGAGCTTGTGTGCACCTTACCTTGGTGCGCCCATGCATTCAGCACATTTTTTTTTACTGACTCAAAAGCTGGCTTTGTGAAAGAGCCCAAACATGCATTTAGTCATAGTGAGGTCTGTTTTGCCTTGTTGGTTCCGATGAGCTGTTATGTTACTTCTAGAAATGCTGCTTGTCTGGAACCTGAGGTTGGAAAGTTGCAGCAACGTTAATTTTACATCTGTAGTCTCCAGACACTTAGTTAGGTGTAGCTTTTTGGTGATCTATTAAGTACTGTCCTGTGAATAAGTAGACGCCCTCCTGTTGCTTGCAGTTATGTAGCAGAATAAAATAATTAACAGTTTGAATTTTTTCTCATATTTTCATTCAGATAGAAGGAATCTCTGAGAAATGCAAATGTTACTGGTTTGTTTGCTGTGGTGTAAATATTAATACCTGTCCCTATTATTACTGAAAACTTGGACTATTTGACATTTCTTTGCTAAGCAAATTAAACTCCTGGAAAACTGATGAGCTTTGTTTCATTAGTTTACTTTTTTCTAAGTTCAGAATGAAAATCAGTTGTGATCAATTTAGTATAACAGATTCTGAAGTTTTTCTATTGTGTGTTATACAAAATCTTTTAATAGTTTTCTCATGTGAAATTTTTGCTTTCAGATTTTTTTTTTTTCTGAAGCCTGGAAAAATTTGCCGGTTTTGTTTAGAATTCATGCAAATGAAAATACTTACTGTATTTCTTGTAAAGTATCTTCGTGGCAACAAATTAAACAATCTATGTAGCAAGCCATCAGAAGTGAAAGCAAGCATAAAGCACTGTCACACAAAATAACATGAAAATAATTCTTGTCAGCACGTAATCCTTGCTTTTGTCTATTTTTCTTTCCCTTCATCCCTATTCCCCCTCTGCAGTGAAGATGCCATATATTAAGAAGACAGCTGGAAAAAAGGCCCCTGCAAAAAGGAAACTTGCTGAAGTATTTGCTCTGGGGGAGGTTCTAACGGACACATCAAGGAAAGAATGGAAATTAGGTGTTCCTATAGGGCAAGGAGGCTTTGGACGCCTGTACCTTGGTAAGTCTGTTGACCTTTGGTATTAAAGTGAGATGTTTATGCTTGTTCAAAACAAGGAATAACTGTCCCTAAGTTAGAAACCCAGAGAATCTTCGACTTACTTTTTTGGCTAGAACCATGGCTTAGTTCATGTTCTTAGAAAAAACTGACAGGAGTGCGGAAATGGTTGTTGTAAACACTGAGTTTTAAGAGATTCCAGTGGTAATTATTTTTTCTTTTTTCTTTTCCTTTAGTTGTGAAAAGATAGTTGAATATTTGTTTTAAGTAAAGTTTTGGTCAGGCTGGAAGAAGGGATACTAATGTGAGTGTACTTATCTCGTGAACCAAAACCTCCGAAGCGTGTTCTGTGAAGGCTACTGATAGCAATTTGGCCGTTTTTGACTTCTGCGTTGATACTGACTTCTTCACTGCATTGTAAACTGATGCGAGTCATGAACTCGCATGACATACTTTGTCATGTTCTCAATGTTCAGAACAGATTGTAGTGTTGGACCTTACTGTTTAAAGCATCAGAACACCCTGTTTTACAGTGTTGTTTATTGAATTCAGTGTAAACTTTTGTGTGTTCCATAATTGGTATATCTGTGTTTTGAACAAATGAGTAGAATTCTCAAGGATAACTCAGAGAATCAAAAAACCTTGTTTTGCTCTTAGTCATTTTCTGAACAATTGTGAAGGGATAAAATATAAGGTGATCCACAGAATCACAGAATGGCCAGGGTTGGAAGGAACCTCAAGGATCATGAGTCTCCAACCCCCCTGCCACATGCAGGGCCACCAACCTCCCCATTTAATGCTGGACCAGGCTGCCCAGAGCCCCATCCAATCTGGCCTTGAACACCTCCAGGGACAGCAGTGCACTCTGGCAGCTCGGAAGGCAAATGGTATCCTGGGCTCCATCAGATGAGGGGTGGCCAGCAGGGACAGGGAGGTGATTGTCCCTCTCTACTCTGTTCTTGTGAGGCCCCACCTGGAGTACTGTGTCCAGGTCTGGAGCCCTCAGTACAAGAAAGACAGGGATCTGTTGGAGAGGGTCCAGAGGAGGGCCAAAAAGATGATCAGGGGACTGGAGCACTTCCCCTACAAAGACAGGCTGAGGGAGCTGGGCTTGTTCAGCTTGGGGAAAAGAAGGCTGCGGGGTGACCTCATTGCAGCCTTTCAGTACCTAAAGGGAGCCTACAAACAAGAGGGGAATCAACTGTTTGAAAGGGTTGATAACAGCAGGACAAGGGGAAATGGTTTTAAATTGAGGGAGGGAAGATTTAGGTTGGATTTCAGGGGGAAGTTCTTTACGAGAGAGTGGTGAGGTGTTGAAACAGGCTGCCCAGAAAGGTTGTGGATGCCCCATCCCTAGAGACTTTCAAGGCCAGATTGGATGAGGCCCTGGGCAGCCTTGTCTAGCATTAAAAGGGGTGGATAGTAGTCCTGCATGTGGCAGGGGGGTTGGAGATTTCGTGATCCTTGAGGTCCCTTCCAACCCGGGTCATTCTGTGATTCTTTCTCCTTTTGTGACAGCTATCAAAAGCTTTGTGCCCACAGTCACTTTTGGATAGGTAACATGACAAAAAAGTAGAGACAACGTTTTTTTTAATCTTTATGCTCTTGACTCTGTGTTCATCACAGTCCTAGAAAGTGAAGGAAGTGCTATTGACTGGGAAAAAGTTTTTAAATAATAGATGAAGAAAGCCTTTATTTAGTAAACTGCCTTTTCTCAAATAGAAGGGAGTATGGACCATGTCCATACAAAGTAGTCTTGCCATATATAGCAGTTCATTTGCCCAAGTCTAAGGTACTGATACATGCTTATGTCAGTACTTAATTGCTCAGTCATTTCTTCCTGCATAGCAAATAAGTACATGTTTTGTGACAGCTTCCTCTCATATTACTAATATACTTTCTTTTTAACAGCTGATGTTAATTCTTCAAAGTCGGTTGGCAGTGATGCACCTTATGTTGTGAAAGTGGTAAGAGAACATTTGAATCTTTACTTCACAAATTGAAAATGCTTCAAAAAACATGTAATTTAAAACATCTTCTCACTAAAAATAATACAGTTTCACAGTGTGTTGTTGAAATGTGCGTTGTTTAAGTCTAAACCAGAACTGTGGTGATACAGAGGAATTCTGAGATACAGAATTCTTGTGTATAAGAGCTGAATGGTGGAACATCAGTAGAGTTGAAGAGTTCATGAAATGGGTCAGATTCTGTTTTGTTTGCTGCTTATTGTAAATAGCCCAAATAAAAAAAAAAATAATTAAAAAAACCTGAAATCTGGATAGCTTTTGGACAATTTCTGTGATTCAACAGTGAGTCTGTGTGAACTGTTGCTCACTGGATGTTGGTAAGCTGACAGATGGCTTGGGAGTGGAAACAGCAAAACGTTGATTCCCAGTGTCCCCACAGATATAAAGTTGTTTAAATATCTTATGATAAAACACATACGTATTCTATTTTCTAGTGAATTAAAATGTATGGAGGCGTGATTTTTTTAACCTAGCAGTTAGAAGAAACAGTAGTGTTGGCTGGTAGCTCATATTTTAGTCCTCTGAAGTAAATCTGCAGGTCCTTTTTATTAGATAAAATAGTCTTTTGTTTTAATATTAAGGTAACAAACTTGAGTTAAACTTAAGTTAAACTTAAGGTTTAATTTGATTTAACTATAATGCTGTTTTCCTACAGTAAATATGTAAATTTTTTTTTTCCTTGAATTTTGCTGGATTATTTTGTATAGATCCTGCTGTTATAAAACAATATTGTAAAATCAATGTAAAAAGAAAAGAAAGGAATGTGGAAATGGTCATAATGAATGGTCTGGATCTGCTGTCTTGGTAGTTTTTGGCCCTGTGATGAAAGTAGGCATCAGAAAACTCTACAAGAACTTCTCTGTGAAAAGTTTGTGTTTCAGCACAGTTCAGAAGTGTGGCAGTTTGATCTGAAATGCTTTACTGTGATAGCTTGCAACTTATGCAAAGATGTTATATTCCTAACTTTTTCCCCTCAGAATTAAAATATGGGGCTAATTAAAAATAGTTACATTTCAGTTGTTATTTGCCTTTAATCTTGATATTAATATAAGTTGTCTACACAGAAATTGTAGGGTGCTTTGACAGCCCAAGACACAGTTGGTGGTGACTCTTTCTGAAATGTTGCCTCTTATTTAAAGGAAAAGAAAAACAAACTCTGCATACAGTGCAAGTGTCAAACTACAGTGCATTCAGTGTCCCAAGGAGGGCTACAAATATGGTGAAAGGTCTAGAGGATGTATGAGGAGCAGCTGAGGGCCTTTGCTGTGTTCAGCCCAAAGCAGAGGAGCTGAGGGGAGATCTCATGGTGGCCTACGTCCCAGAGCAGGGAGCAAAGAGGCAGCGCTGAGCTCTGCTCTGTGTGACAGTGATGTGGAGCTGCATCAAGGCAGGGCTTGGTATGGGTTAGGGAAAGGTGGTTCCCAGAAGGGTGGTTGGGCACTGGAAGCTCTTGGGCTGTTGTATGGTGGTGTCCTACCTTCTACCACTGTCAAAGCAAGGAGCATCCATTCTGCCTATTCTGCTCCAAGGAGCAGACACTCAAGTTATCATCAGCATTTTGCATCTGAGGGGCAGTGGCTCCAAACACCAGGCTCATGCTGAGCTTCGACAGTTGAAACTGATGAAGTAGAGAGCCAGTTTGACTTGCTTGTAAAATCATTGGAGATATGTTATTTTATGTTGTGCGTCATTTCTGACACCTTCTTTCCCCAAGGTTCATCTCCTTTTCTTCCTTCTACTTTGGGCTCTGACAATAAGAAGAGTTATGAAAACTTTTGGTTTGATTTTATGCTGGATACACTTTGTTGCAGCCATTTGTAAATATCCCCATTTCTAATCTCCCTATTGACCACTTGCTTTTAATTTGTGTTTTATAATTTTGTGTTGATGGCAATAAAGAGTAGCCCAGTTTTGTGCTGCCCTCACAAATGACCCATAACATATTATGCCTCTACAGTGTAGTATAACATGACTATGGATAAGGGTCTATTTTCTAATGCCTGGCTGATTCCTAGTTGATCCAAAGCGGAGTGGTTAACAGCTTTGAACAATTATTAGTGTTAAACAAAATATGTGCTTCTGTAATAATGTTCTTCAAATTAAGCTATTAAAGCTGGATGGAAATTGGCTTAGTCTTTGACATATCCTCATAGTATTGATGTCTGAGCAGTACAAAATGAATTATAGCTTTTATTTAAAAAGAAATGCTTTTTAAACATGTGGACCTTTCAGATGTCATTGTTCAGGAGTGGATGCAGAGTTTAATAATGCTCAATTAAATTGCTGACTTACAGAGATTGGAATTCTTAAAATACTACCTGAAGAAACTTGTTGAGTTTTGACTTGTTCTCTGTAATCTCTTCCATTATATCTTTTCTAATTAGAACTTAATTTCAGTTCTACAAGTGGTGTGTTTAGAGTGACTGCGGGCATAAGTTGTAGAAATTTGTGTTTAAAGTCTTTCTGATCTTAGTGTGTTGTAAGATAAGTAGTATGGAGACAGTGGATATAATCATGTGGTCCTTTTTAATACGTTTGCTTGTCTTAATATAGAACTAATGATGTTATAGGGAACAGCATAATAGTCAACATAAATGTCTCTTTTATGGTTAAATAATTTCCTCAAGTATGACAAGATTCCATATTTTCAGCATTTATTCTGACTAGAGAATTTTTTTTCAGCAGACATGAGATTTGATAATTTATTTAAAGATAACTGTTTTAAGAATTGTTAACACCTACAGTTTTTCCCTGAATTTTATTAACGATAGCATTCTTCGAACATAGATAAATCAAATCAAAAACATATGTAGACTTTATGTTCTCATTTAGAGTACTAATGGAATATGCTGTGTGGAAACAAGTGAATAGGTCAGGTAACATTCATCCAATATGACCAAAATAAAAGAATTCAAATGTTAAACCCTTCTCCATGATCTATAAACTACTTATAATTGATATGTATTCATAGTAGATAAGTTGAAGCAGTTATGCATGCTCCAAAGTTTCTGTGCATATATCAATAGGTTGCATTGTTGTTTTTTTTTTTTCTGGTTCATGGCTCAGGTCTAAAGCTTGGTTGCACAAGAAGGGGTCGGAAAATGGTTGTCTTGGTTCTGCTGTTTGTCAGAGCAATGCTGCTGCAGAAAGTGAGGTGAAGATAGGCTTTTTAACCATGTCCAGGTCTAGGACTTGTGCCTAAGCTTTATATTTGGTCTCATTGTGACTGGTTTTCTTACTCTACCTGTAAACCAATAAATCAGATGCACGTTGAAGGCCTTGTTCATCAGCATGTTTGATCTCTTTGCATTACTTTCTAAATGTTAGACAGCAGTAAACCTTTAGTTGCTGTGGTGTAGTCTGACATTTAACAGTTTTCTGGATTGCTGCGTCTACATTTAGAAATTACACTCTTAACCATTTGAGATCAGTGGTGTATATCTTGAAAAGTTTGTTTGTCATACGATTGTAGACTTTCCGGTTGTCATTGCTGGTAATCACATAATTTGGGTTATTTTATTTTTTTTTTAATGTTTGATGTTTCAAAATGGATGTTTTCACTGTGAAGGAATGAGTTTGGGCATAGGAGTAACCAGACTAACATAACTTGCTGAAGCTTATCTCAGAATCAGTCACTTAAGTTGAAGAGTTGAAGTCATTTTTCTTCTTTTTCTTCACTAACTTTTGAAAATGTACAGTTAAGGTACTTGGATACCTGCAGTTCTTGAAGTATTTCAAAGCTTTGGTGTTTTCAGACCAGTTTCGCACTTGCATTTCACATGTAATATTTAGCTACTATAGCCTGTCCAAAGAAGATTAAACTGAAATTCATTGCATAAGGGTCTACCTTGCATTTAAGCTAAAATCAAAATAAGTGTAGATCTTCAGTTAGAGAGAACTCATGAAATCTTACGTGACTTTTACCTTGATCACCTAAGGTACAAAAGGCACAAAATACCTCATGTTCAGCAAGAATTTAACTTTTGTTGAGGTTTTTCTTTCCAGTCATTTCAGGTGTTATTTAAGCTCAGTAATAACTATTGCAGCTGTGGCAATCTGACTTTAATTTGGGAAATCTGAGATAATAAATGTTGCTTAATGTCTTTTCCTAAACTGTTACTGCCAATTACTGGTAATATTTCTATATGTTTCAGTTGTTATTTTTTTATTCTTCCTTGTTATAGGAAAGAATTTTGATACCTTTACTGTTAAGTAATTTGTAATAGAAATAACTTTCTAGAGCCAATCTTACTTTATTAAAAAAAATCATTCTATTGAATTCAATATTAATATGCTTTTAGAGGGTGAAGATAGTTGTTTTTTTTTTTTTTTTTTTCTAGCTCTTAGTGCTAATGCCTAATAATTACAGCAGTTTTTAACTAATTTTAAATTGTCTTAAAGGAACCCAGCCAGAATGGACCTCTTTTTACTGAGTTAAAGTTCTACATGCGAGCTGCTAAGCCAGATGAAAGTAAGCAGTCTATTAAAATGTTTTTAATGAACAACAAGCACTTAGGAAAATGGACTGTACAGGAGTAATGTTGATCTTTAAAACAATCCTTTTAGATAATTTTCAAAATTATTTTTAAATGATTAAAAACACATAGGCATGCAATCTCCAGGCATATGGTAAATGCATATAGTAGAACTAGAGGGTCTGGTAATGCATTCTTTATAATGGTATCAATGGCATTGTCTAAATTGAAACCTTAGTTGTATCTCTGTCCCTATAAATGATGCATTGTTCATTTTCCAGTACAACTGGCACAGTAGTTTCCATAAAATAAGCAGCTCACATGTATACAGAAACTGTAAGTGATGAGTACCCTCCTTCTGTGTAAACTCTTCTGATGCAAATTCATGAACTTACTTTTATTTGTATTTTCAGTTCAGAAGTGGACTAAGTCCCATAAACTGAAATATTTAGGTGTGCCAAGATATTGGGGTTCTGGCTTGCATGAAAAAAGTGGAAACAGGTGACTATATCTTTTGTTGGCGTATACGAGGATTTATTTTATCAACACCCACCATCTGTTTTAACCTGATTTGGTTTAAGATGTATTTTTCACTTATCTTAGTATTGTTCACTTCCAAAATAAAAATTCATGAAAGGGCATGTGTAAGGAATGGATGAATAGATACACAAATGAATTAGAAACAGTGTAGAGTATATCTTAGTTTTCATTTGTCTCAAATGTTGCTGGAAACAGTAAGGCTACATATATGTGTATGTGAATTAGAAGCTGTTCATATGTGAATTAAAATAAAATTTTATTTTGTATATCCATGATTATTATGACTAAAATTCTTCAGGAATAGTTTTTAGCATTCTTTCTCACAACAAGTATTTATTATTTGGTATTGAATGATCTGCCTCTTTATAAAACCTGGCTTCCTAGTGAACTTTCCTTTTATTGCTATGCCATAAAGTTTTACTAGTTCTCTGGCAGTATGTTAGGTTTTATCTTGTGTAAAAATTACTAAATTTTGGAAGACAAACGTAAATATAATAATGTCTTTTTGGAGCAAATTTTTGATTATATTCACAGTTGAGTATGTAAAGCTCTTTTGTGACTGTGAGCTCTTACATTAACCACTTTGGCTGTAGTGAGTAATGTCAGTGCATCTTTGGCAAAAGAGACTTATTTTTCGTGGTAGGCCAAAAGAGAGGTGGTAATAGATTCTAAGAAACTAACTTCTTAAAGTAACAATGTTCAATCACTTGGTCGTTTAGAAAGCAAAAAAAAAAAAATTGTTTCTGTAAGTACTTGGTGCTTGGTTTTACCTATGGTGAATTGCAATATTTTCCTGTCTGAGTATGGTATCGTGTAACCAGCTGGGCATAAGAACAGACACTGTTCTTTTAAATGGGCAGACGTGATTAGCTCATGCAGAAAAGCTAGTAGTATATATCACTGTATAAAAGAAATAAAAAGATGTATTTCCTGTAAATGTGCTTTCTTTGAACTTGCAGCTTATCTTCTGAGATGTTTTCATTCAGTCATTTGTACAATTAACACATAGATAAAATACTTTACAAAGAACAACTTATTAACTTTGCTGTTTTTTTTCCTTGCACTTAGCTATCGGTTTATGATAATGGATCGTTTTGGAAGAGATCTTCAGAAGGTGTATGAAGAGAACGCAAAGCGATTTGCTCATAAAACTGTACTTCAGTTAGGCTTGAGAATAGTAAGTTAAAATTTCTTTTTATTTTTAACAACCTGGCTTCCTTGTGTAGCTCGTTCAGTTAAATCACATTTTTGTGCTGAGTACAGGTCCTCTGCTGGGTGGAGCTGGGTACTGCATTTATATTACTTTTTGTTTTGTTAGCTTGATATCCTGGAATACATCCATGAGCATGAATATGTGCATGGAGACATCAAGGCCTCAAACCTTCTTCAGAGTTACAAGAACCCTAGTCAGGTATTTCTGATGCATTTTATTCATGTTTTAAACCTTCTGTTTGACAACACGTGGAAGTGCTTTGAACCGGTGAAATCTAGCAGAAGCTCATTTTTAAGAATGTATGTAGTAACATTATTTCTGCTTGACATTTATACCTAGTTAATATTCTACGATTTTTTAATGCAGTTTGCTGGACGGTTATCAAATTGACTATTTGCCCTAAATAATAATCTAGAGAAGCTCTCAAGATTAAAAAAAAAATTTGACTCTCAAATAGGCATTTGCAGGTGGAAGCTTAAAATTATATAGCACACCAGTAAATCATGTTTGCCTGTCTGCCTTGTTACTTTGTTCCTTTGTTCAAGAAATCCATCAGATAAGTGTTCTGTTAGTTGGAAAAATTGGTCTTTAAAGTGTCGATTGTTCCACTTGATTTACAGAAATCTCATTTTCCTGCGTTTGTAACTTTCTTCACTATTCAAAAAATGTGTATTAGAATTTCAGAGTTGAGTGTTTCTTGCCCAAATTTTAACTCAGGTAATAAATAAAATGATATCAGTTCTCCTAAAGTCACTGATGTCAGTGAGGGATAATGTGAGAGGTACATAGTAGTCAGTATTGTTTAAATAGGGTCAACTGACTTAAAAGGAGGTAGGACAGTAAGTGAGAGAGACAGAATAACTCTGAACACTGAGATTTGGTAGAGTTTTTTTGTTTGTTTGAAATGAAATGAAACTTGTTGGTTATAACTGACTGTTTTGCTGTCATTGGCAAGAAATGCTCTTCAGATCAAACTTCAATAGGAAAAAAAGAACTTGGCATTGTTTAAAATCCCATGTAGTGATCTCAACAAAATGAGGATCACTTAAATGAACAAAGAGATAATTCTTCAGTCTTTTTAAGAACTGAGAAATAGTTGGGATTTAATTTATTATTTTTATATTTTTGTATTTATAATTCTTTAACCTTGGAATTCTTTGTGGAAATTACTAGGTGTATTTGGTGGATTATGGGCTTGCCTACCGCTACTGTCCTGAAGGAGTTCACAAAGCATATAAGGAAGATCCTAAAAGGTGTCATGACGGCACTATTGAGTACACCAGTATAGATGCACACAAGGGTGTGGGTAAGGATATAAAACTTTCTTCTCAGTGATAAACACTTGTGCATCCTTTTAAAAAGAAATACTTAAGACTTTGCTGCATTGTTTTTAAATGACCAGGTTTCTGGAGCTATTAAAAATTCTCTGTGGGCTATATGAACATACTCCTTTTGCTAAGCTTATTGACATTTGCTTTGAAGGTAGTTTTCTGTAGTTTTAAAAGCAGCTTTCTTAAACAGATTCCCTTAATTTATGAGGTCAGTTAAGATATTTAGTGTACTGCTTTTTGTTAACTAGGAAGAAATGGAATAGTGGTTATGAGATCTTGATAGACAAACCGTTCCTGTTTTCAGGAGAGAAATCCTTTATGAGTGTGAGCATTGTTCCTTCGTATTTGATAGAGATGCACAGTCTTCACAGATTAATTTTTAGATGATGTTTTAACAAAGCTCTTTTATTATGGATATTAATAATTGTGCCTATAGTCATTTAAAATCAGAAGACAAGAATTTAAAAAATGTTGACTATTGAAACATTTGTGTGAATATATCTTGTTTATTTCTAGTGGATATCAGTTTTATTTTCTTCATTCTTATTTTTTAATTAGCATCAAAATATGTCTTGCAAAAATGTCAGATTTTGAAAATTACCTCAAGTCATTTTGTCCATGTTCAGTTTCAAGCACAGAACAGTTAATCCTGAATTGCTTATTTATCCTTTTAAAGTGTAATTTGTATCCAATATATGAGGTGTTTTTGTTTTGATGAGACTTAAAAATCCAGTATCTTTTTGTTCTATATTTGGTTTTCAGGCCGCTTAAAGTATTTCAGCACTATTATAGAGAAGGAAGTAAAAACTGTTTTGAACAGAAAGTCAGTCACTTCAGTAGCTTGTTCAATTTTTTTCCACAATCTGAGTACTTAAAAAGCTTCCCAAATTGGGATAACTGCAGCATGTCATATCCTTCAGTAGAAGAAGGAGGTTGATAAAGGACTTGAAAATGAATCCTTCCAGATGCAGAAGCAGTGTTTTTTTTTTTTCCTTTCTTACTTTTGCACACTTAAAATAAATAACAGATTCAGTAGCATTACACTGTTAGCAGTGGCTTTCTATTGTCTTAATGCATATACGAATTTTAACTCGTTCAACTCTGCGTGATTTTTCATTTCTTTTTTAGCTACCTTTACAGATTACAGATCTTTTTTAATCTATGTGTATCTATTTAGCACCATCGAGACGTGGGGATCTGGAGATCTTAGGTTACTGTATGGTTCATTGGCTTAGTGGCCATCTACCATGGGAGGATAATTTGAAAGATCCAAATTTTGTCAGAGAGTCAAAGATCAGGTGAGAAACTGCTTCCCCCCTTTTTCCCCCCTCTTTTTGAAATAGAAATCAAAATATTTTAGTGGAGAAATGTTTTGTGCTTTTGGAATATTCCCTTTTGGTCAGTGTGCTGTTTTGTATATGCCTCAACTTCTTTTTGTTGCATACAATGCATCCTTGATTTATAGTAAAATTTTATTTGTACTGTTGTGCTGTTTATTTGTACTGTTATGCTGTTGTATTTTGCAAGCAAGATGCTTACTTATCCCCCAGTACTGTTGCTTTAGAATACAACCATGGTAATAGCATAAAGCACTCTTATCAGTATGCAGGTGACCATTAATTATGCTTTAGAAAAAGAGAACTGAAGCATGACGTATGAGTAGCCTTAACAGCATCATACATTGAAGTCAGTGGCAGAAATGAGACCTAAAAATGGATCTTTGACATCTTTGAGCATCACTCCAGTTACAGGACTACTAAGTGGTGGTGTTTTTTTTGTTTTTTTTTTTTGCCTTTCTCCCTCACTCTTTTCAATAGTTTTTCACTTTCCCCACTAATCTTCCACTCAAACTTCTCATATAAAGAAGGTTGACCCAGCACAGCAGTTTCTGTCCTATAAAGAAGTATTTGTTACTTGGCTTTCTTCCCTAATTTTCACACTTTTTCTTCCATCAATGTTAGCGATGTTTATTTTTGTCTTCCTCTGCAGTTCTGCCCCCCTTTTCATTATTGCTTTGGCCCAGAATCTGCTCGAATAATGTAGCTAGAGAAATAGTCCTCCAGCAAGAAGAAATAAAGGCACTGGTATGTGAGATTTTGTAGTGGAACAGCGCTTTTACAGCAGTCTTCTACTTGCTGACTTTTGTAAGAATTGAAACTGGTGAACAAAAACTGGCCATATTTCTGGTAGCCTTTGTGGCACTCGTTAGGTTCTCCAGCCTGCACTCCTGAAAACGGCTGTACTAAGTCAGACCAAAGATTTATCTAGTAGTGTTTCCCATCTCTGACAGTGGAGCATCATAAAGAGTGTCAGTACGCTGTAAGTTTTGAAACTTGAAAGAAATAATAGTTTTGAATAATTTCTTTTTTCAGATGTAGAGATAACATTTCAGAGTTGATGGACAAATGCTTTCCTGGGAAAAATAAACCAGGTAAGAGGAGCTATTTTAAATTACAGAGCTTAATTTTTTTCTAAAATGTGTTGTAATAAAGTCATAATGAGTTTATAAAAGCAACTTCAAGTAAGCAGCATAACTAATGCATGTGTAACTTCTCATACTTCATGGTAGAAATACAGAAACATACAGAAATTAACCAGAAGTACTATTTCTCTAGATGAAATAAGGAAATATATGGAAAAGGTGAAGCAACTGAGCTATGAGGAGAAACCTGTGTATCCACATTTCCGAGAAATACTTCTGCAAGGACTCAAGTCCATTGGGCAAAAAGATGATGGAGTACTTGAATTTGGCTTGTCAGAAAACGGAGACGTGCAAACGAACCCTGTACAAAAGGTTTTTGTTTTCTTAAGAATTTGACAATTTTTAATGCATCTTATGAGCTAAATGGAAAAACTAGTTATATTGGCAGTAGGTGTCATTACTGCATCAAGTGGGAAATAAGCGAGTAGTGAAATGTTTATTCGAGTTATACTCATTTCTCTGACTTAACTGCACTAATTGTTGTGAAAAATTAATCCAGAATGATGTTTGTAGGTGTACTTTCATATCAGATAATGGACAAGGGTAACTTCCGCTATACCAGGTTGCCCTGATCTTGAACACCTCTTCTCTGTTAAATCTATTCCAGTGCCTCGTAGTAAATCTACTCTCTTTGAGTTTAAAATCATTACTGATATCACTGCATGCCATTCTAAAAAGTTTCTCCGTTATTCTCATAAGCCCCCTTAAGTATGAGGGCTGCTCTGAAAGTAATGCCTCCTACGTTATTGTGTTGGCCCATGACATTAGGGGCGGATGTTGGTGGTTTGACGGTAGAGGTTGAACTTTCCCACCAGTATTCCGTTACATTTTGTTGCCGTGTGACAGATGGCAGCAGAGGGGCAGTCTGACATAATGGCATTTGTCATGGAAGCACGTATGAAGCAACGGTGCATAATTGAATTCCTTCATGCGGAAAAAATTGCACCTATTGACATTCATCAACGCTTGCTGAACGTTTATGGAGACCAAACAGTGGATGTGAGCACAGTGAGGCAGTGGGTGGTGCGTTTCAGCAGTGGTGACAATGACCTGAAAGACAAGCCACGTTCCGGACGGCCATGCACAGCTGTCACACCAAGAAATGAACAGTGTCTCAATCAGCTCATCCACTCAAATCTGGGGATTACAGCCAGAGAACTCTGTACGGAGCTGAATATTGGCTTCAGTGCACTGGCAACGATGGTATGTAGCTGAGAACTTGCTCTATCAAATAGTGTTAATTGTGCTCTCTGGATTTTTGTAGTTTCAGTGGAAATAAATAGGAGGCATTACTTTCAGAACAAGCTGTTTAAAGGCTGCATTAAGGTCTCTCTGCAGCCTTCTTCAGGCTAAAAAAAAAAAAAATAAAAATCAAAGCTTTCACATCTGTTCATAGGAGATGTGCTCCAGACTTCTAGTCATCGTCCTAGCCCTCCTCTGGGCCTGCTCCACAGCTCTGCATTCTTTTTGAGATGGAGGCCCAAGAGCTGAATGTATTGTTCCAAGTGGGGTCAAAAAATGGCAGAGGGTGAGAATCACTTCCCTTGACCTGCCACACCTTCTGGTTTTTTTTTTGTTTTTTTTTTTGTTGTAGCCCAGGATACATGTGGCTTTCCAGCCTGCAGATGTGTGCTGTTAGTCAGTTTTTCTTCCACTGGAACCCCCAAGTCCTTTTCCTCAAGGCTGCTCTCAGTTTATTCATCGCTCAGTCTGTACTCATGGCTAGGATTACTCTGACCAGGATGCAGCACCGTGTGCACTTGTTGAAGTTCATGATAGTAGCTTCCTTTCCAAAGGATGTTCAGTGTTTTAAATACAGTTTCTTATGCCCCTTGCTACTGATGCTTACGTATTGAAGTCACAATGATGTAATGTTATTTATGAACCCAAATTCTAATGGTAGCCTGGTAGTATTTTGTTTCTCGCATTTAAGAAGCCTTCAAACTCCAGACTTGGACTTAAATTTGAATGCAGTGTAAAAGCTTTTTAGAATACGACTTGCATAAGATATAAAATGATTTTTAATAACAATAAAAAAAGGGCCAGCAGTTGAATAATAAATATCCTCTACTTCAAACTGATAATAAATACCCTCTATTTCAAACTGTATTTATTACCTAACTACATATCTTAAAAAGTGGAGAGTTCATTGGTTTCTTTAGCATGAACCAGCGAGTTGAGAATTAAGAGAGCTGCCGTGAAAGTAATGCCTCCTATTTTATTATATTGGCCCATGACTCCAGAGGGAAATGGTGGTGGTATGGTAGTACAGGTTGAACCTTCCCACCAGTATTCCATTACATTTTGTTGTTGCCATGTGACAGATGGCAGCAGAGTGGCAGTCTGAGAAAATGGAGTCTGACGTTGAAGTATGAAGCAAAAGTGTGGAATTGAATTCCTTCGTGCAGAAAAAATTGAATCCATTGACATTCACTGATACTTGCTGAACATTTCTGGAGACCAAACTGTGAGAGCTCTGAGAGCAATGAGGCAGTGGCTGGTGATTTCAATAGTGGTGGCAGTGACATGGAAGCCAAGCTGCGTTCTGGATGGCTATGCAGCTTTTACACCATGATATGAAGAGCATCTCAATCAGCTCATCTACACGAATCAGCTAATGTTGGTGACTATGTTGAAAAATAGTGCTTTGTAGCCAAGAATTTGCTCTATCAAGTAGTGTTATTGTGCTCTGTGCACCTGTAGTTTCCATGAAAATAAATAGGAGGCATTACCTTTGGAGTGACCTAAAGACAAAATTTCTGCCCGTTTACTGTTGTGATTGGGGAAGAAAATGTTGTTGGTTCTTGGTTTTTTAAGATGTATCTCCAGATTTTCTTTCTTCGTTTTTGCCCAGTGAACTTCTCAGTTTCCTCTGGCTGAACTTCTGTGGCTTTGGTCTCATTTTCTGTGGAATTAAGTGTAAAGATTTGTCCAAAAGAAGAATTTATTAGCATAAATTCTTTTTTGTTTGTGGATCAACATGGCTTGAGTGTTTTGGAAAAGCAAGCAAACAAACAAAAAAACCCCAAACCTGTTTAATGGTTGACTGGGTTATTTGCTGAATATGTTTGCTTGCTGCAGAGCCAACATCTATGACCTTTAATATCCTTGTCAAGCAGAGATGGCTGGTGAACGTTTCCATTGGAATAAAACTACCCAAGTCTTATTTCTGTAACCAGTATCAGTCAAGACCAAAGTGTATAGTAATAGTTCTCCATGGGTTCTTTTGTGCTAGCATTGGTTAGTTTTTACACTTAGACCTCTTTCTGTACTTTCCCCCACTCCCCACCTTTCCCTCACAAAAAAAGTCTGTGCTAGTTGACAGAGATCTGAACTACAGAATTGCTGAACAATTAGGTAGACAGAGGGAAAAAGGAAGAACATAATATACTAATTAAAAATATTTGTTTTTTTAACAGTGACAAGAAGCTTAGCTTGATGACTTTTTGAAAGATGAGCACTCTCTGTGATCCAAACTGTTAGAAGCTGCTTTCTGTAAAGATAATTTAGCATTGATTAGTAGCATCTTGCCTCAGAAAACCAGTATCTTTCACCACATTCTGAATTTCTTTTGGCGTGATTGAAGTCTGATTTGGAAAAGAAAAATGGAGTCTGGCTTCCACTTCTGAAAAGATGTTGACCTGTATAGCATGGAGTGTTTGTGACGTTTTGGCTGTACCGATCATTCAGTTCTGCTAAGTCTTCAAACACCTACTTTTCAGTTCTTTTAGGGCAATCTACTGTAATGCTGTCTTGAGTGTCATTTGGTGTTCTGAAACTTTGGTATTTCCTAACTAGATGAGAATTTCTAACTTCAGTCTAATTGTTAGGATGTAGGATTCTCTTGTGTATTCAGGTTATGTAAGTAATTGAGCCATGATGTGCATTGTTCATTGCATATAAGCGTGGAATCTCTTTCTCCAGCACTGGTATCTGGCTAAAATGCACAGATGCCTGCTATGTTAAAGGTTAACATTTTGTTTTCAGTATCACGACTCTAATGACTCAAGTTTTCCCAGATGCTTAAGTAAATGAAACACAGTCCACAGTTCTGCTGGTGGATTTTTTTTTTTTTTTCTTTTTTCATTTCTTTAAAATACATGCATGTTGGTTTGATTGTGTGGTATTTTGTGATAGTTCTGGCTGAAAGAAAACTTGCAATCCTGTGTATTGAACAAAATATCTGGAACTCTATACTAAATTATTCAGGGCAGGGACTGCATGTTACTTTTGTTTGGTACCGAAGAGTTGCTGGGAAATACTGGGAACCAACTGGGAAATGTGGTTTTTAATTTAATGATGGGCCTCAGATACACAGGTGTAGCTATTGTTAGATGAATGCAGCCTGATTTCTATTACTATGTAATTCACCTGCATCGAGATTAAGAAACCATTTTTATTAAATAAGCTTGGAAACAAGATAAATGTATTTTGCTTTTGTGTGGCATATATTGGATATCCGTTTTTCTGATGAGCATTTAAAATGTTTTCTAGTACAATTGCGAGGAATGTATTATCTCTCACATAAAAGCAGTGCAGCACTGAAATAGTCTTCCTTAATTTTGGTCAGAATGAACAAAAGTGTCTGTGTTTATTCCTGCCTAATGCATCACAAATCTGCTGACATGCTAACCTTGGAGTCTTGGCTGGCGGTAATCAGGCCTGTGCACCGGCAGGAAAGATGTACCTAATGCACTCCATCAGTGCAGTTTGCATATGGAAGTTCTCACAGGGGAGCTGCCCTGTGCCAGCTGAGGGTTACCTGCCCACTGCAGTTATTGTATGTAATTATCGAACCAATCTGTTCAGCCCAGCAGGGTTTAGATGGTAATCATGAAGCAACACTTTGGAAAGGAAAGATGTAATGCACTCTCCCCTTCTCTCAGGAGCCACGTGAAGTTGTAACCACTTAAGAAGCTGTATTAGTAAAGCTATAGTCTTACACAGTTTGGGGGGAAAAAATAAGTAAACTCTTTTAGTGTTCCTCAACTGTTGTTAAATCTCTGCTACAAATATAGGGCAGCTAATCCTTTGCAGAAATGATACAGGTTTTGAATGAAATATTTTCTTAACTACCTTACGAATAGTTTGCTAAAATAAGATTAATTGTACTACACAAATGACGGAGACCAGCTCAAGAGCCAGGTCTGTTTTGCTTAACAGTCTTCCTCACACAAATAATAAGGTTACTATCAATTTAGGGATTTTAAGATAAGGTACGTTGAGTAGAGTTGAACTTCTCTTTGGAATAGAACTTATCATTGCTATTAGGTAAAAATAATAACATACTGTTAGCAGATGTTATCAACTTTTAAGCTGTGCAAAGCAAGCTTTCAGAAGCCAGAATCCAGATAAACTTGAATTTAGTGATGTATAATTGCTTAAGGAAAAGCCATTAACATAAACTTGGGGTAAAATGTTTTTCTGTGTTCTTCGAGATGCTTTTTCTGATGAATCCATTTGTAACCATTTAGCCAATGTAAATAAAATAGATGTTTATCATAAAATCTTACGTTTTCATATATGAAAATTCCAACTGATGTGATTTGTAAACAGGAGAACTGAACTTTTAAACTGTTTGTTGCTTAGTACTGGTATTCTTACATTGATAAATGAATAGGTGTCCTCTACAACTGATAGCTTGAACTATAGGAGGAAATGATGGTTAAAATTGTAGAATATCTTGCGAGGATAATGTGTCTTATACTTTCTGAGTTCAATTGCCACTTCATTTACAGAAAAAAAGAAAGGCAGCAGCTGCAGCCAATGAGAGCAGTGAAGCAGAAATGGAAGATGCAGGAAGTCCAGAAAAAAAGAAGCGTGCTTCTTCCAGTAAGTCAAAAAATCATTCTAGTACTCTAAAAATAAAGCGATTGTAATAGACTCTACCTCAAAACAAATCTCCATATTTAAAAAAATAATTGATGAAGGTGTATGGCAGAATGGAAAAATAAAACATTTCAGAAGCAGTGATATCGTTAAGTTATGGAATTACTCCAGTGTATTTACTCAGTGTGGTACAAAGTACAAGTAATTAAGCTAGTGTTGTTCCAGAAGGTGACACTGCTCTGTTCATTTTCAGCTGTTCACATTATGGAACAGCAATCATTAAAATCTCTGATTATTTCTCTTACTTGAATGCCTTTTGAATTGTTGATCTCAATTTATTAAGAACTTTCTAGTCTGTCAGAGGCTGAAATAATGTTAATTAGCTAGATTATACTTTCTTTGAAGGAAATAGTAATTTGACATGATGCTGACTTTAATTGTTTGCTTTAACATTTTATTGAAGGCCTTGAAACAATTTTTTAGTTTAAATTCTGTTGACTACTTGCTACTTATGATTTGGTGCATGTGAGCAGAACATACACTTTTGAAGTGTGGTAGTATATGTTGACTTTAAATTCCCTGTGATTGTGGATTGAGATTTTCATAGATTGAAATGAAAAAAGGCTTCAGAAATTGCAATCCAAATCTCATCAACTATATAAGTGCTAAGATTCTTCAGACTAATTGAAGTTATTTGGGAGGGGATGGGTAGTTTTAGCATCCTGTAGTTAAAACAAGTGATGGACGTAAATTTATGTTTATACCTTCTCTCGGTAGCCTTATAGGTGAAATGGTTCTAGTTTCACGTTTTTGTGCTCCTCAATTTAATGAATACTAAGCGGGGGTGGGGTGATTTCTGATGAAAAAGATACACATGCACTTACTCATTTTGTTCTCTTCAAATTTGGCATTAAAAACTCACTTTAAAAGCGATTCATAAATCTGTATTGAAAGAAAAGGCGGCTGTTTCATAATCCTAGAACTGATGCTTTTGTCAGATTGAAAATAGCTGATTACAGAAATATTTAGAACTGTATTTCCTAATCGGACTAATTTTACTTTAATGTGGACTTGTTTCTCTTATGTGTTTAGTCTTGTGACTAAAAGATACCTTAAAGTTTACTATCCATTAACATGGGTAAGTTCTTGATGCATTCTTAGAAATTAAGGTTTAGTCATGCAAGAACATTCAAAAATTTTTTTAATACTGTTTGACTGGTTTCTAACATGTGGTAGGTATGTGTATTATGGCATTACTCATAACAGGGGTTACTCCTAAGGTGTTCAAATGTTTCCTGAGTATTTGGACTTAAGAGTAGCAAGAAGAGTCATGCAGCTTTTTTCTGTTTAGCTAATTAATGCTATCTGCATCCAGCTACTTAGAAAACCTTAGTTGTCTAATCCAGTCCCAAAAGGTCCCAATCCAGCTGTGCAGCAGTTTGAGTGCACCACGGTGCTCAGAGGTCTGTAAGGGATTCTGCCAGTAAAGAAATATCCTGGTACTGTGATCAGAGAGCCTCAAGCTTGGTGGAGGAATAGGAAAGAGCAGAAGAAATTGTTTTTTTTTCATCTGTTCCTTTTGGCTCTTGCTGTAAGAGCGGTCACTTCAGATAAGTACAGTAAGCGCCATCTCGCTTAATATGTCTGCTGTCGGTCTTTCTGAAACTGCCAAGCAGGAGTGTTAGACTCTTCAGCAGCTGAATTTCAGAAAGGCCTCAAGAAGTGAGCTGTGTTTGCTTAAATGAATAATGAAAATTGTTTTTAAAAAAAGTTAAAATTAGCATATTGGAATCAGTTTATTCTTTCTTTTCTGTAACGAGAACTCATAGCCTTCCATATCCTTTCCTGAAAGCCAGAATTTCAAGATACTATGGATGATAATAAATTAATCTATTAGTTGATCTCTTTCCACCAGTAAAAATAAGACATGACTTCAATTTAAAAGAAGAGCTTTTTTTACATTCTGCTATAGTTTTTTTTGTGTGTTAGCTACTTTCATGTATGATATAAAATATGCAAACTTACAAGTAATAATGCTGTTAGAGCAAAAAAGCAAATTTTGCCATGCAGTGAATCCACCAACGCTTCTGTAGGGGTGTATTGCATAGTATTAATAGTTCTAGTATGTTTTTTTTTTTTTTAAAGTCAGTGTGTGTGGATTAGGCAGCTACTATAGAGAACTTCCGTGAAAGTAGCATAAATAAGAGTTTTACGAGAATCTGTAAACAGTCCTAGGTTCAAAGCAACCTGTAGAGTTCAAAGCTACTATCTTTGGGAGTTTTAATCTTGGGTGTGATAAAGATTGGATTGTATCAAATAGATACTTTTTTTTATACAATACCTTTCATTTCCTTTTTTTATTATTTTGAAAATAATTTTGGATTTTATTAATTGGAGTAGAGTGAAATAGAGTGAAATTTTAAAGTAGGCCTGAAATGGGAAATACTTTTTAAATGGGATTTTTTAATAAGTAGTACTGCCAGAGGTAGGAATTGTGCATGGCTATATTGCTACACAACATCTAACATTGTAAGGCCTTAGCTGGAGTCTTCAGCTACTCTTGCAGTGTATTAAAAAAACAAAACAACAGCAACAACAAAAAAATCCATGTGAGGGTTTAGTAGCAATTCTTAATTAATAGATACTTAGCTTTGTGTTTATTTACGTTCCATAGCTTTGCATAAACCAGAATCTCAGTTTTTGTCTTAGAAATCTTTTCTTTATTCCAGCAAGATTGCTTACTTAATGTTAGATTAAATCTATACTTGGATTCCTTTTTATATTTAAGGGATTGTTGGTCTTGTCATCAAGTTTTAGGAGTAAGCAAATAATAGGATTTTTTTGAGCTTGTCTGTGGCACTACTTGTTACTTATCTTTGTACTTCACACCTAAGCACACATTCCTGTTAGATTTCTACCCCTTAATCTTACACCTTAGTATAAGCATTTTCAGCAAAAACCTATTCTTTACAGTAGTTCTGATTATCTGTTGTTCTTCTCTTCTTTCACTTTTACTATCATGCTCGTCTTAATAAGTGCCTATTTTCAATTTCCTATATGTAAAATAAGGAATACTCCTGTATATTCCTGTCTGCTTGGAACAGTTTCTTTCTTATCTTAAGCTTATTTCTGTGCAGTCTCTCCAGACTCCTAAGACTATAAACACCTTTATAATATAAAATACGGTAATGTCCCCTATTGTGTCTCACAGAACTTTCTTTCATTTGCTGCTAATGAAAAGCATTAAATGTAAAGTGTTTTAAAAGCGTTGAAAAAAATCTGAAGAAAATGTGTATAGCTATCTCATTTAAGAGTAAAAGAGATGTTTGCTTTTTTCTTGTTCTGTGACCTGAAGATGCTGCGCAGTGTTTTGAACACATGTTGCAATTTAAACTCAGATACAAATCCTGGAAGTAAATTTTTTCTCCAGAAAAGACAGAAAAAAACCATTTAGTGACCCAGAGTCATACAGGAAACAGTCTCCTTTTCAAGGTTTAAGGTACTTGTTTAACCTAAATTTTATTCCTCCTGCAAACTGCTGTGTGGTGAAGAGGAAGGCTGTTTTTAAACACGTGCTACATGTGACTACTGTTTTATATAAGTTTGTACAGTTATGTTTTGGAGCTCTTCATCAAGTAGGAGTAAATAAGTCTTTCAGTTTTATCTGGAGCAATTTTATATTACTTTTTTTTCAGAGCGCTCGGAGTCAATGATATCTTTAGGAAACAAGTAGGCATAAAAGTAGTGAAATTATATGTTCTTGTGTCCTTATGTGTTTCCATATTTTCCTATGAAAATGAATTGATTTCATTTATTATAGCAAACATCATTGAGCAACAGGACTCATAACAGGGTACTGACATTCAAACCACATCCTACAGCTCTGACACCCTTCTTCCTTCTCTCTTTTCTCCCCTAGTGTTTTCATGTTTACTGGAATCAAGCCCGTCTTTCAGTTCTTCTGGTCTATTTCTTTTGCTGAAGTGTTTCAATTTCTTTGTTGTTGTTGTTAGACAAAAAAAAAAAAGCTAAGAGGGAACAAGCCAACTAAGTAAAACTTCTAGTTCCTCTTGCAATCACTTCAGTAGTCTTCCAAGTACCAAAAAATTCTTGTTTCAGAAGATTTACTCTACAGGTCTTTATTAGCTGTGCAGAGTTCTGTGAAGGAGTTGGGAAAGGGCATGTCAGAGGACTACATGCTTCCTTATTTCTCCTTTTCAAAGGAGAAGGGGGGGGCAAAAATAAAAGGAAACCTGATCAGTGTGCTCAATTGCTTGTGCTTCTTTTGAGGGCAGAAGGTGATAGCTATACTGTTTAACGATGAATCACTACAAGAGCTTGTATAGACTGTAATTTTTCTGGCACCATTATACAGAAACTTGCATGGACTCCGTCTTGTTTCAGTGTAAATTCAGCATATGCAAGTGATGAGCTGCTAACTGGCAGCATGCATGCTTCTATATATTTTTCACTTACCAGGTATTTTCTTGGAGTCTAAAATTTGTATGTGGTTGTGTGCTAAAATATTCTACCTATGATGTAGTCCTCAGTCTCTTTTGATACCTACGTTGTAACAGATTTCTGCTTAGGAGCTGTGATTTCACTATCGGAATCTCTCACTCTCGTTCATAGAAACGTCATTTTTGGACTCGTGTTATTTTATTTCTCATACTTCATGTAGAACTGGAAAACATCATCAAAAGATGATCTGTTCCATACACCAGTCTAAAAACAAGTTATTTACCTACAACTGTGTTAATACTGATGCATACCATAATTTTCTTTTAAAACTTCAAGGGTGAACATTCTGAAACAGTCCTGGTCAATGCCTCGTCTGACACTTAACAATCCTTACTACTGCAAATGGCTTTGTGAGATGCAGTATTATCTTTTGATAA